GAGAAGAAGAAAGCATAGAATGCAATGATGTTGCCTGGGCTAGTGACCGGGTTTTCCTATTGCAAACAATCTCTAATGTTTCTATCGAGCTGCCATATGAACCTGCTGCTGATTTGGCTCACAACTTGCTCAAACGGGTTGAAAAATTCAACATGCATTCAACTGAGGTAATCATTACATAGTATTATTGATTAAGTTCATAACTAAGTCCTAACACTAGTGCTTCTTAATCTTGCCTCATTCTTGAATGGTTCCCTTGATGGCGTTCTGTCAGACATTGTTAAGGATATGGCTTTACTTGTTCTGCATGACTAAAAAGTTCATAAACTACTTTCTCCCGATGTTTCTCTGTCTCTCAATTACCATCTTTTGCGTCATGTTTCATAATTTCTTAGCACATCAAAAATTGTAGTATCGAAATCTGTCTATGATCACAGTTTCTCATGGACTGGGCTGGAGGTCTTGAAATTATCATTTTATAGGTTCTTGAAATTTTTTCTCCATCTGATGCTTAAGCTTTCATCTTATTCACACCCTTCATGCGCCAACAAAGAAGAAAAGATCACTCATAGACAACATTATTTGCATATAAATATTATTTCTCTGATAATCTCACTTTCACACACAATCAGTAGTCCAACGGTCTATACTTAAATATTGAATAATTTCTTAAGCATAGTCGGTGGAACAAATGTTTTCGTAGACAAATATTAGTTAGTATTCGAGAATCAAGATAAAAAGACAGAAGATATCATTTAGTGTACTACAAAACTTTAATGAAATGCTACTTTTGCTAATAGTGCACTACAAATCTATAATGAATTGCTACTTTGGCTGACAGGTTGATGCTCATGTAAAAGCACTTAAAACATTGTGCAAGCGAAAAGCTTCAAGTGACACGGAGGCAGAAACATTAGTCTTGAGATGGGTACGCCAAGTTTTGTCCAGAGCTTCTCAAATAATAGAAACTTTTATTTCAGATAATTCAGAGCAAGATGCAGAAACTGGCTTCTTTACTCCACCTCGAAGTGGGCCTAGTAAAGGTAGGAAATCAGTACGAAAGCGCAAATCATTGTCAAAAGCAATCACAGCAATTTATACAATTGGATCTTTAGTTATTGTCTGCCCATCTGCTGATATGAGTGCTGTAACTCCATTACTGCACACTATCATCACCTCTGGGAATTCAGGCCCGAAATTAAATAAGCTACCAGGCCCTGCAACCACTCTACAACAAGAAGCTCCTTCTTTTTATATTCAAGGGTGGCTGGCCATGGGCAAACTTTGCCTTGCTGATGGGAAGCTTGCAAAGAACTATATTCCTCTGTTTGTGCAGGTTGGTCTTGAGACTTTCTTTTACGCCTCAAGGACTGGTATTTGTTGTCTTGCTTCATAATCAAAATATGTCCTGTTTTGGGATACAATTGCAGGAGCTTGAAAAGAGCGATGCTGCAGCTCTTCGCAATAATATTGTGGTCATGATGGCAGATTTCTGTGTTCGGTATACTGCTCTTATTGATGGGTAAGCCTTGTAAGAGATACTGCTTTAAAGTGATTTTGAATAAAACAAGATTAATAATGCAAATGGAATAATCTAATGTTCTTATACAACTTGAAGATAAACAAGTAGTGGATGAAATGAACATGGGAGAACTATTACTTTGTGCAGGGGAAGAAGTCCAATGTGCACATAATGCGGAACAGACACATTTAATAATGTCAAATAATTTGTGTCTTTGCTAACTTATTTTCCTTTGAAGCTATCAGTTATATAACCAAGATCACAAGGTGTCTCTTAGATCCCTGTGAACTTGTGAGAAGGCAAACGTTCATATTGCTATCCAGACTGTTGCAGGTATTATTTCTTTCCTTCTATGACTACATTATTTCTGTTTCAAACCTTATAATTATCTGGCGTCTAAATATGTCCCCTTTCGCTTCTATTTCACACCCTTGCTTTTAGTTATGCCTAAAAACAGTCTACTTTTCTTTATCCTAGAGGGACTATGTGAAGTGGAGAGGAGTGCTATTTCTTCGTTTCCTTTTGTCACTTGTTGATGAATCAGAGAAGATTAGGCAGCTAGCAGATTTTCTCTTTGGAAATATTTTGAAAGGTTTGAAGCTCTACCTCGGTAGTTCTACTTGCAGTTACATGAATTGAATAACATTTGTTTTATGACTTTGACTAGTGTTTTTTTTTTTTTGTCACCAGTCAAGGCTCCTCTCTTAGCATATAATAGTTTTGTTGAGGCTGTTTTCGTTTTGAATGACTGTCATGGCCATATTGGACATCGCGAGTCTGGCGAATCACGAAAGGACAGCCAACTTTTCTCCATCAGGTAAAGGGATCCCAATTAGCAATTGGTAAAACAATTATGCAGTTGATGTATTTTGTGTGCTTAATCTGTTGCATCTTTTTTTGTAGGGGTGCTGATGAAAAATCAAGGTCTAGAAGAATGCATATTTATGTTTCTCTACTAAAGCAAATGGCTCCGGAGCATCTTCTCGCAACCTTTGCCAAGTTATGTGCAGAAATTCTAGCTGCAGCTTCTGATGGTATGCTTAATATTGAAGATGCAACGGGACAGTCTGTTCTACAGGTATTGATCTTCATCACATCTTTATCAGCAATATTCGTCAATCAAGTTGTCCTGACGCATAATTTAGCACATCTCAACTTATGTCCTAATTATAACATTAACTGTGGGATCAGGATACTTTTCAAATTCTTGGCTGTAAGGAGATACGCATTCAAGCTACTCGTGGATCATCTGAGTCGGCAGACTTAGAAGAAGAAGGGGGAGAAAATGGATCTTCAACTAGAAAGGCTATAACTCAGGCAGTCAAGAAGGGCCTCATTCAAAACACCATACCCATCTTCATAGAGTTGAAACGTCTACTGGAAACCAAGAACAGTCCCCTCATAGGATCTCTCATGGAATGCCTTCGGGTCCTTCTCAAGGACTACAAGAATGAGATCGATGACATATTGGTTGCTGATAAACAGCTGCAGAAAGAGCTGATCTATGACATGCAGAAATATGAAGCAGAAAGAGCTAAAGCAACAGTTGCTGAGGCTGTAGCTTCCATGCCAAAACCAGGTGCAAATCAATCACCTGATGATTCTAAGAATCTGGCCAAGGAACAAGGACAAACACATGAACAAAATGAGGACAAGGACCAGTTCCCAAGTGGTTCAAGAATTGCTTCGGCAATGGCAGATGCTGCAGCTGCAGCAACAGCTCGTTCTGTGCTCAAGGAAATCAACAAGGGGGCAGTGACACCACAGCTTAGTTCTTTGAATGTTCCGAAAGTCAAGTCTTTTACAGGTGAATGCATAGCTAGAGATGATAAGCGTTTGGATGTCATAAAGTCTTTGAAGAAAAAACATGCTTTTGATTCAGATGACGAAAACTAAAAATGTATTGAGTTTAGTTTTACTTCTACTAGTATAGGGGCTCTCGTTCTTTAGCCATTGTTACTTAACTCTGTGTGTTCAGTAACAAGCATACATCTTTGAATTGCTTTGTATAGTTCAATTAATTCCATTCATCCTCTTTTCAAGTTCTGTATTCAACTATATCTTTATGGATTTGTGGATTTGTGCCTTAAGGCGCATAAATCTAATATAGAAATGTTTTCTTAAATGTAGTGTTTTAATTTTTTAATTTAAAATTTCTATTTTTAAATCATGCTAAACATCTTAAAAATTGAAATTTTACATTAAAAAAAACAATTTTTAAATTTTTAAAAAAATTCAATACATAGGTGTTACGACAATATTTACCTATGTATTGAGAGTAGAAGTTAACCTTGTCTTTAATGTAAAACATCAATGATGTGTAAAGTTTTATTTTAGTATGCAGAACTTTTTTGTTTTGTTGATTTTCATCTTTGCAAATGAAATTGAAAAATAAAATAAATCAAATGATAATTTTATTAATTTACTTTTATTAATTATTGATGTATTTTTATAATAATAAATATTAAGTGGAGAATAATAATTTTGTAACGCTGTAGATTATATTTTTTTCTCAAAAAATTATTGATTTATAAGTATCAACTACTTAATTATTATTTATTTATGTTAATACAATTATAATGACTAGAAAAAACAAAGAAAATATTGCTATGATGATGTAATTGAAAGAAATACTCAATTTATTTGTAATTACGAGACTTTTCATATTTGTAGTTTTTTTTTTAATTAAAAAATGTGTATTAATTTCAAAAAACTAGATAAAAGAGCGAGGCGGTAAGGGATCCAGCCAACAAAACAGGCAAAACAAAAAACAAAAAGAGATTCAAACTATATCATCAATTTGGCGATATGAGTTCTAAGTCTCTCGCTATACCATTCTCTATAAACTATAGTGTTAATAATGTTATCCTTTATTTTCATCTTATCTACATTAGTATCAAAACAAACATCATTGTGATATCTCTAAATACCATATAAAGTTTCCGTTACGGCGAGTCTAAGGATTGATGCCCTTCCACCCCTTCCCTTTGCAATGAGAATTGATCTAAATCCACCCCTTCCCTTTGCAATGAGAATTGATCTAAAGTAATTCTTCCTGCCAATATGCAGGGATATGACTAATTTGAACCTAAGACAAAACTTTCATCCAAATACTCTTAGTCTCACTACAATCAAAGAAAAGGTGTTACATGATCTACTCACTTATGCAGAAACAACAAGTAGCATTTTCAATCATACCAAGTCTATGGAGTTTAGCTTTGGTAGGAAGTCTCCCATGACATGCCTGCCACAAGGTCATTACCGCGCAAGGTCTTGCTGCATTGCCATAGACGACTCTACTCCAAGCTACTTTATTATCATCCCACATCTAAGCTTCAAGTAAACTTGCTTTGAAGTGAATATATCACTATGGATAAAATTTTGCCACAAAGTATGCATCAGTTCCAGGTTGTCTCTTTGATGGAGAATAGCTTTAAATAAAGGAGAGTGGCTATCTTTGATGTTCAGATCCATAATATCAGAACCTTTTAAGAAGTAGGTATGAACCCACCTTACCCAAGATTATCATACTTTTTGCATATATTCGTAATAGCTTCAACATTGTAGTTGAGTTCCAGGATCCCAATTCAATTATGTTGAGACCGCCAAACTTCTTAGGGTTGCAGATGGTTTTCCACGAAATAGGACTTTTCCTACTGATATCAGATTTACCAGTCCAAAGGAAAGACCTCAAAATTGCATCAATTTTTTGAATCACAACTTTGGGGAATGGTAGACACTGCATCCAAAAGTTAGCCACAACAAAATATTCAAACCTGATAAGTTGAGTTTTGCCAGCATAGCTTAGAAGATGACTACTCCAATGCTTAATCTTCCCTACAATTTTATCCACAAGCGGCATGTAATAGTGGTCACTCAATTGTTTGTAGGTCAAGGGGATGCCCAAGTATCTAAATGGGAATGTACCTTGCTCAAAGTTGGTCAAGTTAGTGATTTGCATTCTTGTGGCTTCATCAACCCCACCAAAAAACACCTTACATTTCATAGGGTTGACAAACAAACCAATAGAGTTTGAGAATTTAGCAAGAGTCTCCAACAAAAATTCAACAAACCTATAATCACTCTTGGAAAAAAGTAGGACATCATCAACAAAAGTTAAGTTTGTGATATGGAGCCTTTCGCATTTAGCATGGTGGTTGAAATTTAGATCTCTTTGCATCTTGAGGAGGAGTCTATTAAGATATTTCATAGTGATTACAAAAATGGTGACAAGGGGTCACCCTGTCTAAGCCCCCTCTTGGTCTGCATAATAGACATATACAACCCATTCACATTGAATCTATACGACACTGTCGAAACAGTCCTCATGATCCATCTAATGAATTGGGCAGGTATTCCAATTTCCATCAGAATGCATTCCATTGCCTTCCAATCAATCATGTCATAGGCTTTTTGAAGATCAAGTTGGATCATGCACCTAGGGGTGCCAACCTTCCTAGAGTAACCTCTGAGAAGTTCATGGGCCATGAGGATATGATTATGGATTTGTTGACCAGGAATGAAAGCAACTTGATTATGCCCCATAATATTCCCAACACCTTTCTCCAATCTTGTGGTGAGAATCCTAGAGACAATTTTATAGAAGGTTGTACAACCTGCAATAGGTCGATAATCCTTCATAGAAGTATCTCCTTCTACATTTAAGATGAGAGTAATCAAGGTACAATTGAAAGCTTTATAGAGGTGATCCTGATTGAAGAATTCATGGATTGCTGCAATCACATCATCCTTAATTATGTGCCAGCTGGATCTAAAGAATTTAGCACCAAATCCGCCAATACCTAGAGATTTCAAGTCCCCAATCCCTTTAAGGGCATAGAGGATCTCTTGGTCAGTCAAATGAGTTATGAGACTGATTCTTTAATCAACTGTCAGGTGAGGGCCCTCCCTCATAGAAGTCACGTCAATATAGCTCAGGTTGTCCTCTTTCTGGCCCATCAATCTACCATAGTAATCCAAAATTGCTTCCTCAATTTTTGCATGGCTGGTGACCCTAGAACCATCTGCAGCAGACAAAGATGCAATACTTTTAGCATGATGCTTAGCCTTGAGGGAGGCATGAAAAAATATATTCTTGCCATCACCCAATTTTAGCCATTCAATTTTAGCTTTTTGGCTAAGGATCTTTTCCTCCAACTCATTGAGCCCAATAAGATCCTCTGTGAGTTTCTTGATTTTCATGAGTTTAGGTTCATTCATTCTATCCTACACCAGATCCTGCTGTGCCTGATGGAGTGCATATCTAGTGTTAAGGACATCCTTATGAACGCTCAACAAAGGTTTGCTAAGGGTTCTCAGGGCTGATTGTAACCTCTTCAATTTTTTCAAAAGAACAACCACATGATTACCTTGAATAGGGATATTCCAGTTACTGCTCATAATATCTGTATAGCCCTCCAATTCTGTAACACAGTTGATGAACTTGAAATTCCTATTCTTCCTAGCATTAGAGGTCTGGCCCTTGAGAATCAAGAGGGCATGATCAGAGACACTTGGGGGAAGGATGTTGAGGTTAAAATCCATATGAGTTTGGAACCAATCAACATTAGCCAAAGCCCTGTCAATTCTCGAATAAATAGTGCCTGTAGCATGCTTGTTGGACTAGGTGTAGTAGTCATCTAAACTGTCCATCTCATAAAGGCCAACATTTTGCATCATAGTAACAAGATCATTATATTCAGCTTCAGTCACTATTCTCCCCCCGATCCCATCTTGAGTTTTTATGACATTGTTGAGGTCACTAATCAAGCACCAAGCACCACGTTGTTGGCTGTGAATACGAGCTAAATCTTTCCATAAAAGTCTACTCTGTTCAAGGGTATTCATTGCATAAATGACAGTTAACCAAAACATGAAATTACCAACAAGATCATAAACACCACAGTGGACAAGCTGACTAGTGCTACACACCAGTTTGATGTCAATACAATTATGTTTCCACGCTAGCCAAATTCTGCCATTCCCATGATTCTCATAGTTGTCAGCAAACACACCTTTGAAATTGAGCAATTTTCTAATATGCGCCACACTATCCTTTTTCACTATAGTTTCCAAAAGAATAGCAATGTTTGGGTTAAGCTCTAGGAGACGAGAGCTAATATCCCTAATCTTATCCTTTTTGTTCAGCCCTCTAACATTCCAAGAAATAATCATGTACCTGTGTCTTGGAACACTATGGGATCATTCCCAATCCCAAGTGGCTCAAAACCATTTTTGCAATGTATCCTTGTTGGTGTATTTTCTTGTTGGATCCCTTTCCCCTTATCCCTGCCAGTACTTCGTGCTTGCGTCCAAACATCTTTAGGTTTAGTTTGGGTGTTTGAACCTGATGGATGATCCACAACTCCCTCAGGTGGTTTAAGGCGTTGTCTCCATTTCACCTTGGGCTTAGTAACCACACAATTGTGGCCAACCTTTTGAAAATTTTCACAAAAGGCCGAGTTCCATTCATACTCAACCCCTTGAACTAGTTTTTTCCCTTCAGCATCTTTGATGGTAATTGTTAGGATCAGAAAATGAAATAGCAGAAACAGAAGGATTAAAACAATGAAAAAGGAAACAATGAACTTTATTATGTCAATAATAGAGAATAACAGAATGAGAAGAAATAATCCCTAGATTCTGGCGCAGAGCTGAAGCTCCTATAGGCAAGCTACGACTGCCTATTCATTCTTACAACTAACAGAATCCAAGGTACTGTCTCAATATCACTCACACTCCTTATATTCAGCAAAGTAGTTACTGGCTCATTTCTCTCTCCCCCACGTGTCTAGTAGAGCTATTCTTTTGTGACCCTCTTACCCCTTCTAGAATATACCTTCCATTCTCTAGGTCCCACCTCATGATTGGTTAATGATGTATTAGGCCCCACTGCTCCTCTTGACCCACTAGATCCCACATCAGTCCTAACAACACCCCCTCCTAAAATTACTGCCTTGTCCTCAAAGCTAAAATTTAGGAACTGACTTGTCAACATCACTACATCTTTCCATGTGGCCTCTTCCATGTTTCGTCCTTTCCATTGTACTAAGACCTGCCTCACCTCCTCTCCCTGTATTGGAGCAGTTCTGTATGCTAAGACTGTGTCAGGTTCATAATTGTTGTCCTTATCACCTTTCAAATCATCGGGCAAGGACTCCTCAACATGGTATGACCCAACAACTTTCTTTAACAATGACACATGAAACACTAGATGCACGCGGGAATCTTCTGGCAGCTTTAGTTTATAGGCCACTGCTCCTATGCGCTCCACCACAGGGTAAGGACCAAAGTATTTTGCTGGCAGCTTATCATTAATACGTGATACCACTGATTTCTGCCTATGAGCTCTTAGTTTGACAAACACCCATTCCCCTATGGAAAAGCTCCCGTCACATCTTTTCTTATCAGCAAAATGTTTCATTCTATCTTGGGCTCTTAATAAGTGAGCTCTTAGTTGTCTGATAGCTTCATCCTTATCTAACAACTCATTTTGTACTGCCTCCACTCTAACTTCTCCTTGGATCCATCGAACAATGGTTGGAGGGGTCCTACCATAAACTATCTCAAAGGGTTTTTTTTTTCTGTTGAAACATGGTAAGTGGTGTTGAACCAATATTGTGCCCAAGGAATCCAGTACATCCATGTGTTTGGCTGGTAAGCTATGAAGCACCTTAGGTAAGTCTCCAGACACTTGTTAACCACTTCGGTCTGACCATCAGATTCAGGATGGTAGGCACTACTCATCTTAAGCTTGGTCTCCTGTAATTTAAACATTTCGCTCCAGAAGTTACTCATGAAGATGGGGTATCTATCACTCACAATTGATGGTGGAACACCATGAAGCCCAACAATTTCTCTTACAAATACCTCTGCTATTGTTCTGGCGGTGTATGGGTGTTTCAGAGCAATGAAATGGCAGTACTTTGTTAATCGATCCATTACCACTAAAATGGCTTCAAACCCCTTTGATTTGGGCAATCCTGTGATGAAGTCCATGGAAATGTTTTCTGTAACACCCTTTTCTACCTCACAATTATTATGGCAAAATAGCACAGATACCAGAGTAAAATAATAAATTCAATAAAAGCCACCTCAAAGGGCATACATTTCACAAATCCTCAAAATAAGTCAAGGCTCCGTAAACAATGGGTTTTCTCAAAAGGCATAAAAAATTGCACAAAGGCAGCGAAACTCAAAGGCATAATCCAAAGTTTTCCTTATACGGGAAGATAATCAAAATAACATCGATAAAACATGGTTCAACTCAAAGACCCCAACCCGATGTTACACTATCAGAGCAAGACCCTCTAAGTTAACCAAAAGGACAACGACGCAAAACTTCAAAAGTCCTCAATGGCATCCACAGCTAAACCTGGTCATCTGCACATTACCCACGTGGAGGCAACATTCAAACAGGCAGGGTGAGTAAAACGATTCATAATAATCAATGTAGAAAATCAACATATAAAATGGCGTCATTATCATATTCATCAATAGACATCAAAGCCATAACATCATAATTTACTCAAAATCATCTTATAAATGCAAATGCAACAAGACTCCATGCATGTGGTACCAATCATCACAGCTCGATGGACATTGGACCATCAACCCTCCATAGATCCTCATCAATAGGATCGATTCTACTTGAGAACCGGAGCACATCAAAATACCTCACATCCGCACAATGAGATTGAAGCCAAAGTAATCAAGGTCCTGAACCAAAGCCCGGATGCACATGAATGCATGATGCACACGTCAATAATCATCCTCATAATAACAACATAGGTGCATCATCATTCATCATAATCATCATCATCACAATCATTATCATATCTCATGTCATCATAGAATTCATCAAAAACATGGTAATATCATCATATTACATCATATCAATCATCATGTAATCGTGTATACATCACATAGAATTCACAGTCATACTCATGTTAATTTGTCAAAGAAATCACATAATCAAAACATCAAGGCATCGCTGCACAATGTCTATATTCGGAAAACTCTGCTACATTCGCTAGCAAGTTCGCTAGGCGAGTCTGTGGCGAGTTTCTTCGCTTTGTGAAGGATTCTTCGCTAGGCGAGTCTAGGACTAAATTGTTCGCTGTGCGAAGCATTCTTCGCTAGGCGAACAACGCGATGGCAACAAACTCTGCTGCGCACCAGAACCTAAAATCAACCAAAAAGCCCCACGATTCACTTCCCCAATGCCCCCAAAATATCATTAAATCATACCTAAGGTCTTACAGCGATAAAGGTATAAAACCTACGGTTTATTAGGCCAATCCCGTATCATATTCACACCCTAAATCACAAATTTCCCTACAAGCACCCATATTCATTAGAATTACTCACTATCTAATATTCCTATCCCTCCAGGGTTAGATAAATGTCAAATCATAGTTTCGGCGACGAAGGCCTAACTTTCCTTTTCTCCCAATGAATTCCACAGTTAGATTCACAAATAATAGATTTAGGTCACGAAGGCCTGATCGCGAATTTCTATGTCTAATACAACTTAACTGCAAGTGCACAGTCTATCGCGTAGTAATAAAAGATATCGATCCCACAGGGACTCGTAATCAAACTAGTGTTCTCGGGAGTTACTATGTTTAGCTAGGTAGATAATGTTTAAGGAAATAATTTCTGTCACTAAAGGGAACTAAAAACGTTACTTGAATTATAATTACGTGAATCGATATGCAGTAATTATGTTCTTCGGGGATTTGACAAGTTACCGGTATATGAAATATTTTTCAGAATTTATTTAAGCAGAAAATAGTGATCTGAAGACTTTCGTCTCACGATGGTTGTTGACGCTAGTCATAATTCTAAGGACCGAATGTACGCTTTCGCTGTCCCATTCAGGGTTAAAACTACTTTTTGGAAATCTCTAAGTTCTAATCCATTTTAAAGTGCTTTCGCTGTTATTAAAAGGAATGCCTAGTGTTTACTATCTGGTCTTACCGCAGCTGTCGCTTGTTGGTTCGTACCTTAATTAATTTCCCACTGTCGTGGCAAAACTACTTTTAAATAAGTTCTCGCTTTCGCGACGAACGTTTATTCAGTAAATAAGTTTAAAAACTCAGACCATAAACAACTTTTGAAAAAAAGAAAGTTTTCAACCGATTATTATCAAATCCCGTCTGAATTATTATTACATATCGATTACTCTGATTTAGCTAGACATGGATTTGGGAAAGATAAAACATAAATAAAAACAGAAACTTAGAACATTCATATTACTGAGAATTAAAGTTACAATTAACGAAATAATGAAAAACCTGTAACGTATCCAATTGGCTTTTGGCCAAATCCCAACGATGTCGGCAGGATTATGTCTTCAAACCAATAGAGCGCACAAACGAATATTGTCGAAATGGAATACAGGAATAAGGAAAGGAAACAAAAACAGAAAGAATAAAACTAAATTTTTGCTCTGGAAATAAAATTGGGCAGCACTTCGTTGTCTGAATGCGGCTCCCTTTCTCAGCTCCCCTCCTTCCCCTTTTATAGAAATAGAATTCTAACGGTTGTAATTTGAAGAAGGTGGGCTTAGAGGCAGAAATATCAGGGAGTAGTGGTCCATTATTTGGGACTTGGAACTGCATTTTGCACGTTCAATTGAAGTTGTGCGTTTTTGCCTGCATGATGGTCGTCATGGTGTGTGACAGTCGTCACCCGTGTGACGATCGTCATGGAGGTGTGACGGTCGTCACAGCAGCAAAATGTGCATTCTGCGTTTTTCATGTTGTTTTCATCTGGTTTTCGTCCATATTTCATATGTAATTGCTTCTTTTCTTCATATTGCTTTGTTTAGACATGATCATCAAATACCTGCAAAATATCAGACAAATAACATGGAAAGAACCCGAAATCGGATTAAAAACAGTCAAACATTAGTTGAATTATGCATCAATATATATATACGATTTCGTGTTATCAAACTCCCCTAAGCTTGAATCTTTGCTTGTCCTCAAGTAAAATAGGAAAAAGTCGGCAAGCACGAGGCAGCTTCCTCATTCACAAAGTTGGGAAAAACCGGGATTCTTAGTAAGAACAAAACGAGTATGGTGACGACACTGGACTACAAGTCTTCGGAGGTCTCCTTCTTATGAAAATCGGTCCCAGTCATGCTACTGTAGCTTGGTATCAAGATT